TGTTTTTGATTCTTCTTTGCTTCCAATTTTCACGTTCCAATCTCCAATGATCAGCTTGACATCCTCTGTTGGTGTATTGTCAATTTCTTCCTGTACTCCTTCATAGAATCTATCAATTTCTTCCTGTTCTGTCTCTGTGGTTAGTGCATATACTTATATTATGGTGATAGTAACAGGTTTACCATGAAGCCTTACTGAAATGATTTGGTCTGATTTTGCATTATATCCGCTGACTGCTTTTGACACATCTTTTCTTAGTATGAAAGCCACCTTATCTCTTCTTATTTTATGATGTTATTTCCTTATAAAATGTTAAAATATAAATATACATAAGTGTGTGGATAAAAATACGCACACTAAAGAAACAAAATATTTTTATTGATATACTGTACTACATAAAGTGGGGGTGGGAAGGTCGCAACATCCGCATGTAAATGCAAAAGGGGGTACCAAAGGTAAAAGTTTGAGTTCCACTGCTTTTGCTGAATAACAGTTCTAAAGCACTCATAATTTGGTTTTGGTTCAGCTTTTAGTAAGTGAAATCAATTTGACAGACAGACTGCAAACATGAATGGCAAACATTTTAATTTTATACATTTCAGAATTATTTGAGGAGGACAAAAAAGAGGAAAAAATATTTTCTGGTTTAATATATTATTTCCCATTATCCCTACCATTAATCTGTCATGGTCAACAACAACAGGGGGTACAGGATCTTGTTCCTCTGGAACCTGGGCCAAAGCAACTTTACGAGGTTTCTTATTTTTCAATGTACCTGCAAATCAGGAAGCAAATGTAAAAATCAGAAGATAAAACAGTGTTAAAATCCAAGTTTTCTAAGAATGATTTTTAAAATCACAAGTACCTTCTTTCAGAAGAACAGAGCTATACACATCTCTAATAAAGATCAAAAGCAATTTCAAAACTTCTAAAAGAAATGCTCCCTTGAAAAAAAAAAGTAATAGAAATATGCAAAGTTTGATCCAAATTTAGGGGCAAGCATTTGGTCTATAGCAATGGGGATTTCCCTATCACCACCTCCCCCCATTTTCCATACAAATAGGATTGAG